ACAGCTTCAGGAGAATAGGTGTTATTTCTTCTTTGAAAGTTTGGTAGAATTCCCCAGGGAATCCATCAGGTCCTGGGCTCTTGTTTTTTGGAAGGTTTTTGATCACTGCTTCAATCTAGTTACTAGATATCGGTCTATTCAGGTTGTCAATTTCTTCCTGGTTCAATTTTGGGAGTTTATAGTTTTCCAGGAATGCATCCATTTCATCTAGGTTGCTTAGCTTATTGGCATATAACTGTTGATAATAACCTCATTAACTTTTTAATCTTCAATCTCAGGGCTTATAATCCTTGGTTGAATTTTACTTTTTGGACATATAAAATATTAGTATCGTTCAAAAGTCAAAACCACACAAGGAGGTGGGTTTAAAGGAATTTGGCTCTCACCTTTATCCCTTCTACCCTATTCACCACCTTCTCCCTTTAGTATTCATTTTCATTAGGTTTTTTTTTCCTTTTGGATATTTGTACCTCTTAATCTCCTTCATCCATCCCCCACCCACCTCCTCTCTTACAAATACCAGTTTGTGCTCCGTATTTAAAAGTCTGTTTTGTTTTTAGATTCCACAGTATTTTTCTTTCTCTGTCTGATTTATTTCAACCAGCATAATACTATCTCCATCTATGTTGTTGCAAATGGCAAGACTGTGTTCTTTTTATGGCCGAGTAATAGGCCATTGTGTGTGTGTGTGTGTGTCTGTATACACACACATAACATCCATTATATATATAATATATGTAGTATTTATATAAAATATCTCACGTCTTCTTTATTCATCTATGGAGGGGGCATTTGGATTGCTTCATTACCTTGGCTATTGTAAATAATGCTTCAGTAAACACAGGGGTGTATATATCTTTTTGAGTCAAAATGTTTTCGTATTCCTTGGATAAATCCAGTAATGGAATTACTGGATAATATGGTAATTCCATTTTTTTAACTTTTTGAGGAAACTCCATACTGTTTTCCACAGTGGTTGTACCAATTTACATTCCTACCAACAGTGCATGAGGGTTTCTTTCTCACCATATCCTCAATAACACTTGTTATTTCTTGTCTTTTTGATATGAGACAGTCTGCCAAGTGATACCTGATTATGGTTTTGATTGGTCTTTCCCTGAAACTAAGTGATATTGAGCATGTTTTCATGTGTCTGTTGGCCATCTGTATGTCTTCTTTGGAAAAAGATCTATTCATATCTTTTACACAGTTTTAAATCAGATGGTTTGGGAATTTTTGTTGTTGAGTTGTATGATTTATGTGTTTTGGATATTAACTTCATCTTCTTCCATTTGATAGTTTCCCTTTTTGTTTTGTTGGTTTCTTTTGCTGCACTTATTAGTTTGTTTTTATAAGAGCTTTATTGAAATATATTACATATACCATACAATTGACCCTTTTAATGTTTTTTTCCCAATTGTTTTTAGTATATTCACAGAGTTGTGTAACCATCATAACTATCTAATTTCAGAGTATTTTCACTATTCCAGAAAGAAACCCCATAGTAATCACTCCCCATTCACTCCCACGTCCCCATATCCCAGTCCTAGGCAACCACTAATCTACTTTTGGTCTTTATAGATTTGTCTGTTCTGAACATTTTATATAAATGGACCCATATAATATGTGGTATTTTGTGTCTAGATTCTTTTACTTAGCATAATTTTCAAAGTTCACCCTTATTGTAGCATGAATCAGTGCTTCATTTCTTTTTTTTTTTTTAAGATTTTATCTATTTATTTGAGAGAGAGAATACCAGTGAGAGAGCATAACAGGAAGGGCAGAAAAATATGGAAAGATCCAAGATGACCTTCAAGAGACAAATAGATAAAGATGATGTGGTCCATATACACAATGGAATATTACTCAGCCATCAGGAAGGATAAAATACCCAACTTTTGCATCAACATGGATAGGACTGGAAGAGATGATGAGTGAAATAGGTGAAACAGAGAAAGTCAATTATATGGTTTCACTTATCTGTGGAACATAAGGAATAGCATGGAAGACATTAGAAGGAAGGGAAAAAAGAAGGGAGAGAAATTGGAGTGAGAGACTATGGACTCTGGGAAACAAACAGAGGGTTTCAGAAGGGATGGTGGTGGGGGAAATGGGTGAGTCTGGTGATGGATATTAAGGAGGACATGGATTGCATGGAGTACTGGGTGTTATATGCAAACAATGAATCATGGAACACTACATCAAAACCTAGTGACAAATTGTATGGCGACTAACATAACCCAATTTAAAAAAAAATAAATGCCAAAAAAAAAAAGAGTAAGGGCAGAGGGAGCGAGCATGAGTGGGGGTGGGAAGGGCAGAGGGGGAGGGAGACTCAGACTCCCCACAGAGCAGTGAGCCAGAGGAGCGGCTGGATTCCAGGATACTGGGATCATGACCTGAACCAAAGGCAGATGCTTAAACGACTGAGCCACCCACGTGCCCTAGTGCTTCATTTCTTTTTATCACTGAATAATATCTCATTTTATATTTATACCACATTTTAAAAAATTTATCGTTTGGTGGTCATTTGGGTTATTTCCACTTTTGGGTAACTATGAATAATTTTACTGTGGAATTTTGTGTATATGTTTTTGCATGAACATATGTTCTCATTTCTCCTTATTATATACCTAAAAGTAGAATTACTGGGTCTTGTGGTTTAACTTTTTGAGTCATTAGTTTTTTTATCTTACTGCTTAATTTGAAAAAAGTAAGAAAACATGTGTTTCATATTCTTATATATTCTTATTTCCCTCTTTTTTTCTTATAGAAAGGGTAGCATACTCATATATCTTGTTTTAAACTTTGGGTTTGTTTTTGTTTTTGCTGTTGTTCTCTGTTATACATCCTGACATTTGCAATGCATTCTAAATCACTACAAAAAAAAGTTTGTAGATATTTTCTTAATTCCTTTTTGACTTTATTTTATGACTACATACAATGACTACATTGTTTGAATATACCATTATTTATTCAACTAGTCCCCTATTGTTGGGTGCTTCTGCTATTTCCAACCTTTTGCTATTAAAAAATTATGCCACAGTGTTGAACCTTGTGTATATGTTGTTTGGTACTTGTGCAGGTGTGTCTTCAGAGTATATGTCTAAAAGTAGAATTCCTAGGCATAGGGTAAGTGAATATGCAGATTTGTTAGATCTTGTCAAATTTGCTTCCTCTAGTTATATATTGCATTAATGTCAGCAATGTAGTAGAATACATATTCGCTCCAAAGTCTCATCAATAGATCATGCATTAGGTTTCACCAATAAGTGGTATCTCAGTGCAGATTTAATTTGCATTTTTCTCCTTTGAGAAAATGAGCAGTTTTTCATATACTTAAGGGTATTTGTTTTTCTATTTCTGTGTCTTGTATGTTTGTGTCTCTTGTCTCTTTTGTTCTAGGCTTTTTGAGGACCAAGATTCTTGAAGTAAGGTAGTAGCCAGACATTGGGTGGATGGAAGCAGGTGCTCCTCACTAACTGCTAGCAGGATAATCCTTAGCTAAGTCCTTAGCTCCTGTCACATACTAAGAATCTTAGAAAATCAGAGCAGGAATAACTATTTCAGATTAACTAGTTCAGTCCTCTCATATTATAGATGAATAAAAGGAAGCCCAGAGAGTGGGAGGGACTCTCTTTAGTTCACACAGAAAATTAGTGATAATGTGGAACTTGAACCCAATTTCTCTTTCCCCCAGGGCAACTTCAAATTAATATGCAAATAATTTATGTGTTGATTTTTGTACTTTCACTGAGATTATCACAAACAACATTTTGGGAAGAAATTGCCTTTCAATTAGCCCAAATTACAAATATTGGCAATAAATATAAAAGGCATCCTCTTGCTAATTCTGCCTTTTTATCTACATTAGTGTCTATAATGCTAATTTGTTATAGAAATATAAAAAAAAACAGAATGTCAGAGTTGCACTGAATCTTGGTGATATCTCATTATATTACAGGGAAACCTGAGATCCAGAAATGCAGAATTTATCACAGGGGGAGACCAAGAGGGCCATTTAGCCTGGAGCCTCACCTTCACTAAGGGTTTCAAGTTTAGGTATTTGAGATCTTCTCCAAATGAGGTTAAAAATGTATGATTACTGCATTTCTGTGAGTGTGATGATAGCTTTATTTTGAAAAATAGACACACATAAAATCCATTGCAATTTTTCTAAGCTTATTGTCTCATTTCTGTACTTTTTAATATACCAGGAGAAGCCTTGAGGGTGACCTGCCCATGATTATCAAGAAAGCTAGTAAATGAACTGACACCAGAACCCAGATTTACTGACCTGTCCATAGTCAGAGTGCTTTCTGCTGCACCATACTTCTTCATAAGAGCAACTGGCTCTTATGAGTCAAGTAAATTCATCTTTATCCACAACATTGAATCCTCTGGCCAAAAAGCATGACCCATGCCACATAAACACACCATCTCGGAGCTCATCACCAGGCCTACTTTCTACAATATGTCTTTCCTGTCTGCCATACCCAAGCAAAAAGTTGGCCACAATCTTAATAACTCCCATTTCTTGAGAATCTCTTATGTGCTATGCACTTTATCTGTGTTCATTCAAATACACAGAACAGTCCTGCATGTTGGGCAATACTATTTTCATTTTACAGATGACTAAACAGGCTAAGAGAGGTTATCTAAGATTATATCTAAGAGGTTAGATGATATCTAAGAGGTTATCTAAGATTATACAGGTAAATAAGTGATACAGCTGGAATTTAAAATCAAATTTATCTGACTACAAAGCCTGTGTTCAGCCCACTTTATCTGGTATTACCCTTCAACTGAGATGCATGATGACTCTGGGAGGATATATACACAAGGGCCAAGGCAAAATCACCTTCTTTATAGAGCACTCAGCCTGTCCAGAATTAAACAGTTGGTGGCTGGGATTTAAAGAGCTGACAGTTTCTCTGCAATGTACCCTGTGGGCCAATCCTCAAATAGAAACTCTTCCTGAAAACCCAGAAGTTACTTACTTGACCAAGTGTCTTATAAGAAGTTCCAGCATCTCTCGATTCTTTTCAGGCAGCTTATATACCAGGGAATGAATAGCTCCCAGCCGGTAATCCAGGTTGTCAGACTCTGAGAGAGAACAGAGAGAGACAGTTTTGCCTTTTAGGCAACTGGATCAAGCAAACTCTCATATATGCATGCATACACACACACAGAGACAATCAGAAACAGAGAGATGAAAAGAGACCGAGAGATAAACTGGCACAATGAAACAATGGCAAAGAGACACCAAGGAAAAAAAGACATTGAGACAGAGAGAGAGAGAGAGGGAGAAAGACAAAGAGACCAAAAGAGAGATAAAAGACAAAAAGAGAGATAATAACAAAGAAATAGGTCTAGGAGTTTAAAGAGAGAGAGAGAGAGAATAGAAAGATGAGAACACAAGACTATCTCTGAGGAAGTCAAAGTTCTAGGTACAGCAGGTTTTTCCTACAGTTTCACATGTAAACTTCCGCTGGAAACCCTTGCCCACCCATCTTTTTGTGGTGCTGGGAGGGGTACTGCTACCTTTGGGTTTATGTGAAAATCCCTGAGACAGTTCAGAGGTCTCAGGTCAGATCAAAGGTCCCTTGCCTCAACAAAAATTCATTATGAGGTCAAGTCTTATCAGTCTTTTTCCTGTACACCACAGAGAGCACAGAATAGAAGGGTGATGTAAAGATAGGGAGGGATACTCATACAGTGGCCTCAGCCAAAACTTTTAATATTTCTTCAGCTGCCGACTTTTGGGGTGATTCTATATGCCTTATTTCCCATGCAATGTTCTACTGCACCCTCAGTTTTATCATCTAGAAAATATGATTCTAGCATTAACAGATTAGGAGTAATAATTCATAGCACAAATGAAAAGCATTCAAAAAGGCAAAGCTATGAAAAAAATCTAAAACAGCAACTATAATGAAACCATTCTGCTTCCCCCTAGTTATGTGAATTAATGCTCTTGTTCTGGCAGAAGAGGCATATTCAGTCAGTAAAGCCCTCACACCTGTAACATCCTTCATGTTAGCCAGTTTTATCCAACCTACTCAACTTACACTTATTTATGGAAAATAATAGAACACTTGAGTTAGACAGCAAGCAAGAATACTCTCATTTGGTAGCAGACAAAAATCTATGGATATTTTTTCCCCTCACTTTTTCTCAAGCAGTTTTCTAGGTTTATTGCTAATGAACATTATTAAGAAGCCAAGACAACACAATTAACTAGCAACATAAATACTTACTGGCAGCAGAGACCAGCTCTTTGTGAAGTCTATAGGTCATGACAGGTTCAGAAAGATTCCTGAAATTAATGAAGACTGTAAGTTCCTTTGGGAAAGCCTTGGATTTTCAGTTCTGTGGGCAGCAAGGCTTAAAGTTTCTAATCCCTATAGCTTAGTGAGATTACATATATTTCTCTCTTCATCTGAAACTTTGCCAGAGGAATGCCACTTACTGGTAAATCAATAGAAGACCTGCAAAAGTATAAGCCAATTAGTCCTGCAGGGTCTCTAATTAGTTTCCAAAGGTGAAAGGAGTCACAAACCAGCCCTGAAAAATTCCAAAGTGGACCCAATCTGAATGCTGCTATAAAGTCCTTGCAGTTTGATAGTTCCTTAGTTTTCAAAGTACTATCATATCTGTCTTCCCATCTGATCCTTCCAATGATCCTGTGACATGGAGCAGTTATTCAAATCCCAGCTTAATGGAGGAGAAAACTGAAGTCCAACAGATTTCTTTATTTAGTTAAAAAAAAAATATATATATATATATAGGCTGAGCACCTACAGATACCTGACATTGTGCCAGATATTGGGATCCAAAGATGAGTAAGACAGACCCCCAAACCTCCAAGAGCTAATAGTCTAGTTGAGAAGAGTGCCATATACAGAATTAACAATGTAAAAGGACCAGTGTGATGATAATAATATTAGTAAATGCTTTACTGTTCTAAATGATTTGCATATATTTACCAATTTAATCCTCATGACAACACTGTAAGGTAGATATTGTTATTATATCCATTTATATAATCCACTTTATAAATGGGGAAACTGAAGTTCAGAAAAGTTAAATAAGTCATCCAAGACCACGTAAAGCCGTAAGTGGCAGAACTAGGCAGTCTTTCTTGAATCTATGCTCTTAATCACTATGTTATACGGTCTGACACTATTATTATCTTAGTACTCCAGTTGAGAGGTAATAAAGACCTAAACAAAAATAGTGGCATCAAAGAAAAAAAGAAATGATAAGGAGAATTATTTAAAAGACATTAAAGACAGAACTTCTTCAATGATTGGGTATACTGGTAAGGGAGAGAGTCATCTGGTTTGTGAGACTGGATAGAATAGAAATGGATTCAGAAGGAAGTAGAGATGTTAAGCCAGAGGGACTTTTGGGGTAGCCAAAGGGACATGTCTATTAGGCAGATGGATGGAATACCCTACTAGATCTGAGAAGTAAATATTAAAATCATAAACCTAGGTGAGTGTTTAAAACCATGAACATAGGTGAGCAGTTAAAACCACAAGAACAGATACCACTGCTCAAGGAGAGATGACCAACTCATAGCCAAGAACTACATGAGGCCTTCCAATTATTATTTGTTCAGAATAGTGTATTAAAAAGACAAATTGTATTAGTTGTCAAAATATAAAAAAACTGAGATACCTCACATAAAATCTGCATTTTCTACCTCTATTGAAAAATGGAAAGACCTGGCTATATTGAGCCCATATGGTTATTTGTGGAAATAAATACTATTGCTGATTATATATAAACAAAGGGATCACTATGCAAATACAGGTTCAATATGTAATGTTTTAATAGGAAAGTAGTCTGCTTCATTCATTTTTGTGGATATTTGAAATTTCCAACCCTCAATTATAGTAAAAAGAGAGGAGAATCCTGGAAAATATCAGGTAGAAAGTCCATAAAGGGAAGTGCTAAAAATGGTCAAAAAAGGTATGAGGAAAGCCAAAAACAAGTGATACAGTAGAATCCAAAAGAGGAGAAAGTATCAAGGAGGCCTCATTAACAGCTTCAAATGTTGCAAAGAAATCAAGTAAGGAGTAACAATTGTACATTGTGTTTAGCACTGAGGGAATCACTAGTGACCTTGGCAAGAGCATTTGCAGTGCAGCAGAAGTGTTGGGACGGTGACTGCAGTGGGTTAAGGAGAAAACTGGGGGGTTAAGAAGTAGAGACACTGGGACACCTGGATGGCTCAGGTGGTTTAGTGTCTGCCTTTGGCTCAGGTCATGATCCCAGTGTCCTGGGATCAAGTCTAGCATTGGGCTCTTTGCACAGCGAGGAGCCTGCTTCTCCTTCTGCCTGTACTCCCCATTTATATGCTATCTAACAAATAAATAAATTTTTAAAGCCTTAAAAAAAAAGAAGTAGAGACACTGTGTGTAGATTACTTCATATACTGATGCTTGGATAGGAAGGCATGAATTATCCCTCTTATTAGGCAATCTCATCCAAGCTCCTGCCTCCCAATTATCATATACATCGTCGATGATTCACAAAGTTTTAACTCAAGCTCAGAATTCTTCTGAGTTCATTCCCATATATTCAATTGCTCACTTAATATCTTGCCCTGATGTCATCAGACACCCACATTTGACATATCTAAAGTCCATCTTGTCATCTCCCCTGAATCTAGTCTTTTTTTTTGTGTTTCTCAAATCAGCAAATATATGGCTACCATTTGGTTATATGGGCCATAAACTTGGAAGTCATTCTTTTATCTCCATCTCTCCTATTCTCATATCTAAATTTACTCCCTAAATTTCTTGAATATGCTTATTTCTACCAATCTACACTGCTAGTTCAAGCAGAAGCATCATCTCTTTCATAGACCACAGCAATAGCCTACTAATTGGTTTCTATCTCTACCTATTTTGATTCCCTCTAATCTGATCTTTATATGTTTTTTTCAAAATGCAAATCTCATCATATAACCTACTGCTTAAAATCTCTCAATTTATTCCCATTCCTTTTAAAATAAATCCAGACCCCAATTCTTATGTCCCATATGACCTTGCATGATCTGGCTCCTAATATCTCTCCCTCCCTCTCTATACTACAGTACTCCACCTATACTGGTACACAGTTTCTTGAAGGGATCATTCTCTCTTGTGCTTCAAGGCCTTTGTGTATATCTCTGTCTGGAACTACCTCTTCTCAGCTGACTGTAAGTTGCAATTCAAACATCAGTTCAAAAAACCACCAGAATAAATCAGGTATTCCTATTACATGCCTTCATAACACCATGCACCTTTTCTTCAGAGCACTTATTATGGTTTGTTATATTTGTATGATTATTTGTTTTTTACTGCTTTCCTAACTGGACTATAACTTTTTTAAATTTAGGGACCACATCTATTCACAATTATATGCCTACTGCCTAGTATCATGCTAGGCATAGACTAGACACTCAAGAAATGTTTATTGAATGATTTAGTAAATGGCAGAATGAATTTATTCATTTATGAAAAAACACACAAGGTCAAAGAGATGTGCTTTACAGGAGTATATTTATATGCTGAGAGGAAAGAGCCAGTTGAATAAGAGAGAGTAAAGATATTAGCGAGAGAAAGGATAGTTTTAATGAATCTTAGAACACTGGAAAAATAAAATTAAATTTAAAAAAAGGAAAGGATAGTTTTAGCTTTTAGGGTACTTTCCTGGAAATGTTGGATATAAGGGATAAGTTATGTACGTATAACACAGATGAAGAGTCCCCTTTGTGAAAATACTGAATTATTTGAGAAACCTAAAGGGTGTTAACTGGTTAGTGCATATTAAAGGCCCATACATTAAGTGTTAAGGACAAATCTCTCATTGGACGTATTGCTCATTCAGGCTTTCAGGCTTGATCTTCCCATCTTTAAAAGGGGTCACACTGCTTATTATGGGATGAGTTGGGAAAGATTTAATGTGGGGAGTTACTTAACCTATATAAATCTTTGAAAAAAATTGACTCCTTTGAAAAAGGCTAGAGACATAGAATCATTTACTCTCACTATTATCATCACCAGTCTTCTAAAAGTATGCATAGTAGATTGCTCTCTGTCTTCCAGGCAACTTCAAGAAAGCTATAGCCCCTGAGGATGGGAAACGGGAAGAAGATGCTCCAATACCAGTGACCTATATGTCAGGGATACTTAGGTTCAAATAATGTGAGCTGTGAGCATGGATAATACTTAACTGGAAAGTGATGCCTTTCAGTTTCCTCATCTGTAAAATTAGTTATGATGCCACATACCTTATAGGATTATTGTAAAAAAACAAAAAATGATATTGTCAATGTAAGCAACTAGAACACCTTCTAACAACAGTACATTTCTTCTTTGGCAGATGCCAGAGAAATACTCCTGGAAAGAGCATTCATGTTTATACAAAGTTCTAAGATGATACTACAGCAAAAGGTCATTTAACAGCAATATCTGGGACCCAATTTATTCTGGATTAATGATATTCAAGTATCTATCCAAGTACCTAAAGAGTACAATAATTGAAAAAAAAGACATTTAGTAAATAATGTATAATACATACAATTGGACATAAAGAATAGAAAGAAATGAATGAGTATATGTCCCCCCCAAAAAATATATGCCCCAAATATTTTTACATAATACAAATTTATGCCAGTGAACTAAATGATCTATACATCACCACTGTGCATCACCAAATTTTGCTGATAAGGTAAATTTTGTTTTCTTATTGCTCTCAATTCACTCAGTTCTAACATTTGTGTAATTGTATTTTCTTGTTTTTTATTTCTATTATATGGATGAATGCATAAAACATGACACATAACACATAACACAGAAACACAAATATGTTTGTACAAATATAATTTAATGTTTCAAAATAGTTATTGTTCAACCAAGCATGTTAACAACATTGAATTGTCATAAATACTGATATTATTCATGAGCACATTGTGACATCACTCTACGCACAATGGCAAAATTTCCATTACTTTAAGGAAAAGCCATTTTTCAATAATAATTCTATTATTTTGATGCTTAATTTGCCTAAATTCCCAAATTAAAGGTTTTCTAATATACGTTCTTTTTTGATGGAAATTATTTTCACTCTTTTTTTTTATAGCAAACCTATCCAACCTCCTGGGTTCCTTGAGCTATCCAACCACATAATCTCCAATCTTCACCTAGACAAATTTCACCAACTATGAAAAACAAATTCCCAAATTGTATCAGGCATACCTGAGGTAGAATTTCAAAGAGCTGGTGATTGTCTTAATGTCCCAGTCACTACTATGAAAATCAACGTCTCCTGGGCATTTAGGATCTATTTGAGGAAAAAAAAAATTAAAAAGTTAATATTCCAAAATTTCTTACTTTTCACCCCTTGCCTGGGTGGCTCAGTTGGTTAAGCAACTGCATTTGGCTCAGGTCATGATCCCAGGATCAAGTCCCGCATCGGGATCCCAGCAACACGGGGAGTCTGCTTCTCCCACTGACCTTCTCCCCTCTCATGCTTGCTCTCTCTCTCTCATAAATAAATAAACAAAATCTTTAAGAAAAAAAAAAGAAAAATAAAGTGGGGTGTCCAGGTGGCACAGTTGGTTAAGCATCAGACTCTTGGTTTCTGCTTGGGTCATGATCTCAGGGTGGTGAGATAAAGATCTGGGTTGGGCTCTGTGTTCAGTGCCTCAGAGTCTGCCTGAGACTTTCTCTCTCTCTCTCTCTGCTCCTCCCCCAACTTCTCTCTCTAAAGTAAATAAAATCTTTAAAGAAGAAAATTAAAATACATTATATTAAAAGATAGTCACTCTACCCAGTTTTCAAGAGATGAAAACTTTGTACAACAACCATGTCTTTGATGTCTTAAAAATTCCCTTGCATTCCATTCAGGCACGTAAGACGTTTGAAGTCATGTCTTCCAACCACACAAGGAAAAAAAGTATAATAAACCAAAAATCAACTCCTCTTAGATACCCCAGAGATCTGAGGTCACACAACAAACTACTGTCCTCTAAATTGAAGAGAGAGACTGGGAGATCCAGAAAATAGAAACTTACTAGAGGAGAAGCCCAGGAGCAGAAAACTCTTTGGGAACAGTACAAGGTTAGGAAAATCTAACCTACAGTTGATTTGCTAGAGGCTCAGTGGATAAGTTTGAGAGTTAAAAATTCTAAGGGGGACCGGTCCTGGGGTACCTGCACACTTTTGTGAATTTTGCCTCCAGGAGCCCTATGAGGTTCTCACAGTGAAGATCTAAGAACAATTCACTCACGTTTCTGGGCTCTTTCTTTCTTTCTTTCTTTCTGTCTTTTTTTCAGGTATCAAGAGAGCACAAGCAGGGGGAGCAGCAGAGGGAGAGAGGAAAGAGAGAAGGAGCCTGATGTGGGGCTTCATCCCAGGACCCTGGGGTCATCACCTGAGGTGAAGGCAGATGCCTAATGACTGAGCCACGAAGATGCCCCTTCATGCTTCTTTTTAATAAAAGGATAAGAACCATACAATTCTCTCAATAGATGCTGAAAAAAGCATTGACAAAATATAGCATCCTTTCTTGATAAAAACTCTGCAGCGTAGGGACAGAAGGAACATACCTCAATATCATAAAAACCATACAGGAAAAACCCACAGTGAATATCATTCTTAATGGAGAAAAACTGAGAGGTTTTCCTCTGAAGTCAGGAGCACAACAGGGATGTCCACTCTCCCCACTGTTGTTCAACATAGTACTAGAAGTCCTAGCTTCAGCAATCAGAAAATCAAGAGAAATAAATGGCATCCAAATCAGCAAAGAAGAAGTCAAATTCTCACTTTTCACCAGAAATAGCTATGCTGGTGGAGCTATTTCAGACCTGGAGCCTGTTATATACATAGGAAAGAGGGATGTGATTTTATAAAAGGGTAGAGACTACTTTAGCAGCTTAAAGTAAATTCATCTGTGAACTACTGGTTTTCCCTGGATTCAAATTACATCAAGATTATTAATAACATTTATAACCCTGAAGCAATAATTCTATGTCAGCAAATTTACCCAAAGTATACATCAGAATAGACTCATCTATAAATACGTCATCACAAAAAAGGAAGAAAGTTAAATGCTCAAAAATAAGGAAGTTATCTGATAAATATTGGTTCTTTTATTTACCATAATTTTATGTACCCATTAAAATATTTACAAAGTATTTCTAACCATATGTGAAATGCATATGTCATGATAATGTGGTTGGCCACCTAAGTCTAAGTCACCCTACACATCCTCCAGTAAACATGGAATGAAGAGAAAAATGGGGTTACACAAAGCCATGTCCTCCACATAACAGAAACATAGAGAATACCCAAATTCCAAATCACTTGAAAATAGAAATATAAACACTAAATCCCAGGGAGCTATCACTAATATTCCTTCACTACAAACATTTGCAGAGAGCAAGCAAAATGCCATCAAAATTTCATTCATAAGAAAATAAGAGGTCTGGAGGACTAAAATTAATCTAAAACCAGCACCAGAAAGACAAAGTCTAAACAAAGTATAAAAATACTGAAAAATAGAGCAAATCAGAGCACTTGTGGAAGAGTGCTCTAAGTGATCTTCAAAAAGAAGTCATGGAAAGGTATTGTTCCTAGGAAAGGAAAGGGCAAAACATAATGGAAAGACATCAGCCAAAGGGAAGTGAAGCAAAAGATAAAAATTTAGGAATGGACAAAGATCTACCAGGAAAAAGCAATCAGTATCAGACATAGTAGATTCCAAGCCCAAAAGTACGAAAGGAGACAAAGAACACTTTTTAATGCTAAAAGCCATAGTCAAAATGAAAGTAAAACAGGGGCGGGGGACAAGATGGCAGGGAAGTAGGAGGAGGCGCCTTTTCAACCTGTACCCTAAAGTGAGCTGATTACCTACCAAAGAACTCTGATCACCCTTGAAATCAGCCTGAGATCAGAATTATACACATCTGGATCTCTACAGGGGCAGAAGACACCAGTGGGCAGGTAAAGCGGAGTGGGAAAGGCGGACTGATATTGGAAGATAAACAGAAGGGTTAGGGAGCCACCAGAGGTGACCAGTTGGAAAGTAATACCCCTAATACAAGCGAGAGTGCCCTGCATCTGGGGACCAGCATTAACTTGGAGACTGGTTGAAAGCACTCCAAAAGAGCAAAAGATTGTGGGGGGGGGGGATTGTGGGAATCGGGGCGGCTAAGGACAGGGGCTTAAGTCCCCGGGCCCAGGACAGCCTCCCCTGGCACTGAGCCAGAGAGAGTGCGGTGGAAAAACCAGGTCTTGGTCCCTGAGCTGCCAGCGCGCCCAAGATTGCCTGGGTTCTGGCGCCTGTGAGGGGATGGGAGCCACGCCGGATGGCAGAACACGCGAGCCCTGCTACAGAGCCTGAGATGAGCGAGCCCCTCATCCTCCCCTGAGAGAGGTACAAAGGCCCAGCCAGCGCTCTTTGACACGCGCCATTGTTTCAGAGCCTAAGACGCGCACCCCAAACTCTCCCCTGAGAGAGGTGCAAGAAGGCCCACCCTGGTGCTTTCGGACCTGCGCCCCGATCTCAGAGGCTGAGACGCGCGCGCGAACCACAGCCTCCCCTGAGAGAGGTGCGCGCAAGCCGGGCTCTCTTAGACCCAGAAAGACCAGGCACTCCCAGCCCGGGCCAGCAGGAAAATCTCAGTGTGTGATCGCTGCTTGGAACCTCTCTGGCGGTCTGGAGCTGCCCAAACAGCTGCCCCTGCTTTGGTTTTGGGTACAAGCAGAAGATCCTGCGTCCCCAGGGACCACGACTCAGAACCTGCTCTGCCAGCGGCCAAGGGGGTATTTATATGGGCTCTGCAACACCCACAGAAGAACAGACTTAGGCTTCTCTCTGAGAGGGAGGTCAGGGTGCAGTTTGCTTTCCTCTAAACCTACAAAAACCATCAAAAGCAGTCAAGGCTAGAGGAAAAAAAAAAAAAAAAAGGTGAACAAACATAAAAACCTCCAGAGAACAAAAGCCTGAAGAAACCGGTTTCCTCAGAGCCCACCCCCTTGAGGGGGACTGGAGGACTTAACTCAGGGAACATCATTGACTGAAAACCCACGTGACAGGCCCCCCCCCACAGAAAACCAACCAGGAGAGAAAAAAAAAAAAAAAGACTACAAGAGAACCAACACCACTACTTCATAGGACAACTTTTATTTTTAATTTGTTCCCACTCTTCTGGCTCATTTTTTTTATAGAGATAATTTTTTAACTTATTTACAATCACAGCGAGCTATCCAGTACATCAAATTCCATAATAACCTTCTAACCTGAACTCTTTGATACATACACCTATGTTTTTCTTTAGCATTTCTATTTTTTGAATTTTTTTTTAATTTTAGTTTAGTTTAGTCTAGTTTATTCCTTTTTTATTTTTATTTTCTAATATTCATATAGAGTTAAACTTCAAAGTAATCCCCTTTCCCCAATCAATACTACCCCTATAGGTAAACCAATTTTTAATCCCCCTTTAGCCTAGGAAAGTTGAGTCCTTTAACAAAGATATCAAGATACATCCAGGAAGAATCAAAACAACCTTCCTAGCCCACATTGAGAATTTATAACCACTCTCCCATCTTTTTCTTCCACCAGTGTTTCTGTGTTTTTGTGTTTGTCCTGATAGAATATAAATCTTATACTTGGGGTTCTTTTCAACAAGGTTCTTCCTTTATTTACATATATATATTTTTTCTCTTGTCATATACTTTTATCAGTCTTTTTCTTTGTCTGTTTTTGATTGTATACTTCATCAATCTTACCTTGGGGCCCATTTGGGCTGAACCTTCTCTTTCATCTACCCTATCTTTCCTGTCTCTCTCTCTCTCTCTTTTTCTTTTCTTTTTTCTCTCATTTGGGTGGGGAATCCTGATTGCTCAGAAGTGTTCCAGGGAGCACCTTGACTGCACCACGGCCGATACATCCAGCTACATCTGTTCAGTCATCTCTCACCAAAATGACTAGGAGGAGGAATGCCCAACAGAAGAAAAATACAGAGGATGGACCTTCTGCAACAGAGCTAACGGCTATCAACATAGACAATACGTCAGAAAGAGAATCCAGGCTAACAATTATCCAGGCAATAGCTAGGTTAGAGAAAGCCATGGATGACCAAACGGAATTGATTAGGGCCGAGCTGAAAGCGACCAGACAGGATATTTACAATGTTAGGGCAGAGCTAAAAGCTACCAGGGCAGAGGTTCACAATGCTCTCAATGAGTTCCAATCTAATCTAAATTCTCTAAAAGCTAGGGTAACTGAGACAGAACATAGAATTAGTGATCTGGAGGACAAACAGATAGAGAGAAAGG